AGTGAACACTAATCCATACTAACCACCTAACTTCGGGATGCTGGAAAATTGCAATCTTTGCTTTTTGTGACACAGATCAAGTGATCATCTCCTTTGTTCTTCACGAATACGGGGGCAACTGCTACTAGAATACAGGCAGAGTGTGGCCATGATGGGTAGGGCAACATTTCAGGCCGATGTCACAGGTCATGGCTGAAAGGTCATGGTTGAAGAAGGATACCCGCAAAAAGTTGTCCTTGCGTTTGCTTGCTTGCTTGCTTGCTTGCCCTTTTTCTGAAAAAGGAACCAGAGACAGGGTTAGAGACGGTAAGAACATGAGTCCAAGACCTCTTTTGAAGTCCCCGCACCCAGACCGACCAGATCATCCATCGAGCGAGCTACTCGTAGGACCCTGGAGGATCTGGAGCCACCGCATGGGATGAAATGTAGAGTGATCCGTTGGGGTTCCGATGGTAGCGTACTTTCGCTTCTCAACCAGGAAATGGGCCAAACTTACAGCAGTGGTTGCGAATGGACTTAGGTGAACTCACTAAGTCCGAGTCAATTTCTTTTCAAAGAACAACTAAGTTTGGCAAGCCTGACTATCACGAGCCTATGATTAGGCATCCTGCAAGCCATCCGGAGCAGCACCATTTTGGAGCACCATTTGCGCCGCATTTTGCATTCTGGAGGTCTTCTTCAATCAGAGTTGACAGCAGGCGGGTGGGCCTCTGACGCTCGATCCCTCAATCGATCCCTCGTTGGCCCGTCGGTGATGCGCGGGCGTCGATGTGACCGGTTCCGCCACCCGGCCTCGTGTCGTTCTGCCACGTGCAAGAGCTGAACAGGAGCAAAGCTCGGGAGGAGCTCCTCCCGGTCTGGGACGGCCCATTTGACATGGCGTCTTTCTCTGCATCTGTACATGATGGTACATGAGGTAGCTATGCGGGAATTCCCAAATGAAAGCTAGGAGGAAAGTAGATCAGATGGATTCAGATGGGGTGGTACACCACCGAGGTGGCACAGACGGGCTGGGTTTTCGCTTGTCGCACCTTGTCGCAAATGGATCCTCATTCAATTCGTGGTTGAGATGGGTGCCTATGGCTCTGAACCGATGGGCATATATCTAAGAATGTTAGCAAGATGCCAGGCACCTATTACGAGGGCATGAGGAGGGGGACACTGTGTCACAGTAAAATGCAAGCTCACCTGCAAAGACATATGGCAATATATATATATATATTAGTATATATATATATAGCGAGCAATAGCATCGTGTCCAACAATAGCATCAAATCATACATGCTCATGTACAACCATGGCAAGCAAACTGTGATAAGAAGGCCTCTGATTTGTTCTTGTTCAAATTGAAGGACGAATTGGACAGACTTTCGAACCGATGCGACTGGCGTTCGCCTCTCAGGGCGTGAGGGGGAGCTCAGCCAAGAGGCGAGCGACGCCCCGACGGGGGACGGGCGACCGGACGATGCGACTGGGTCGAGTGGAGAGCACGCACGGACAAATGCCGAAGGTTTGGAGAAGTGGAGAAGTGGATTTTCGGTGAAGGTTTCTTGATTATTGGGCCAATTGAGGTTGGGAACTTCAGGATATCGGCGGTTCCCTGAAATCAGATCCTGCCTTTTCAGAAGAATGGACAGTTGCATAGATGGCCAGACCTACCAATGCGAGATGCGAGACTTAGGACTTAGGAGGGCAACATAGTTCAACAATCAAACTGGGCGTACAGCGACCCTCTTCTGGAACTGCCAAGAGATGTATGAGAACCGCTGCACAACCCATCAGGCCAGGGCCTTCGGAGATCATTTTCACACCTGTATATTGAAGGATTTTGGAGTCGGGCAGCTTCTGCAAACTGCAAACCTGGGCAGGATCTACCCTGGAAAAAAACATGTGTGTAGTGTGTGTATATATATATACATACAGGAATACACTAGAGTGTCCTACCTTTCTACCCTGTGATATGAGGGTCTCCGTTGGTCTCCCAGTGGTTTCCTTTCAACGGGAACATGCGACCAATTCCACTGGGGTTGCATGAACCCCAGTCCGTGTCGGGGAGGACTGATGTCCCGGTCCGGTGTCGGGTGTGACGGTAGGGGGTTGCTTGTGCTCCGAAACAGAGGGCAAAAGGGGGGCGCTGTTCTTTGTTTTTTGTTGTTGTCGTCGTTTGAATTTGAAGTGAATGATGGTGCAAACTTGGACCAGATGGCACACTGTGTCATTTCAGGCAGTGTATGAGTGGTTCACGGCTCGCTTTGTGGTTCAACCTGGAACAATCACCCTGCTCATAGAAAATGACAAGCATAAGAGCATATAGAAGCTAGTATGTGCATCAAAAACCAGCAGCATTTATATGCATTCCATGTTCTATTTTTCGATGAATAATGAATATCTTGGAAACCAGGCTCATCTCAAGTCTGTCTCCATGCATGCGCCATGATGTAGGGCTACGGGCAGAGGACATCCACCACCTGGGCAAAGCAATGAAAGTGCAAAGCGGGTGAAAATGGTCGTTCAACATCTATCAACTCAGCAACAGCACGGCTTCACCTGCCTATATTAGGCCTAAATATGTTGTTCGCTACTAGGGGCTCCTGGCCTTACTACTAGGAGCAAGGACGCTACTAGGGGCTCCGGGCATCGCTACTAGGAACAAGAAGCTAGTAGGGGCTCCTTATAGGCCTACATATTTTGCCGTGTTTTCATCGCGCTCCTTTCGCCGTTTTCATCGTCTTCGGACTGCTCAATCTCCCATGGCAGGTCGTGGAGCTCCAGCGGCGCTGTGAGATGCTGAATGGCTTGCACGGCAGCCCGGAGATCACAATTCACATATCGACCTGAACCAATACCAGATTAGCATTTGATTCATATATACTTCTCTGAGTTTTCATCGACAACCGATTTTTTTCCTAAAGAGATTTGATCTGTTTTGCCCTTTCCATCAGTTCTGCTGTTTTTGACATTTGAAGCCGCGACCCCACCATGCTGCAACTCAGCCTAGTGGGACTCGGTCCATCCACAATTATTGCAACGCAAAGGAAGGGACTGTCGAACTAGCTTTTGAAGTGGCAAAAAATCCATCACAAATTGACAGGGAATCACTTTTCTGCATTGTTCATTTGCTTTCTAAGATTTTCCGAGTCACTCTGCAAGTTACAGATGCTCGTGTAGGGAGTCACCGGAAGCAGACTCCGTGTAGGGAGTCCCCAACGCCTGGCTCTCCTTGCGTCGTCACGTCGCCAGGCTCGCTTAGCATTTCAAGGCCAAGCGGGTGACGGAGGCGTGGCGTGCAACGGACCGATCGATCCGGAGGTGTCCGAAATGGTCCGAGGTCCGGACATCTCGTTCTGTTTGAAGATCTTTCTTGGCACCCATCACCGTGACAGGGCCAAACAGCTTCCAGGGTTCGGCTTTTCAGGTGAGGGTCAAAACAGCTCTGTCCAGAAATGAGGGATTGAAATAGGGAGAGCACCCAAGAATCACCGAGTGAGACGCGGGGATCCCCGAGACAGGCCCAAATCCGTAGTCCAAGCACCTCGCCCAACTCTCTGGGGTTGATAGGTGAAAAAGCACAGCAGAACGGAATTTTGTTATTTCTATTAAATAGAAATACCTTTACGCTTATACGTGTGTGTATATATATATATTGCTACCAGCTGCTATTGTTACTTATGGTTACTCATAGTTTTTGAATAGGGCACCTTCAAGCAGCCTCGACACCTCTCAAGTTTTCCTTCCGTAGTGCTTCTACTTAACTGCGTTTTTCGGCGATGTTGGTGATCTACCCAACACAGGTCAAACTCAGGTCCCTGCCTGGTGCAGGCAAGCTGGGCCAAATGCAGCTCAAGCTGACTTGAAGCTCAAGCTGATGAAAAACGACCTTGCATATTACATCGATTTTGGGATGGACGCAATATTTTCCTCAGATCAACAAGTGAGGGCAGGTTGGCATTGGTCTGCAGATTGGTAGCTGTTGATAGTGTTGGAGCAATTGTATTGCTGAAAGTCTCCCACCAGTGACGCCCAAATGGCTTCAAGACTGCTCCAAGGATTTCCTGGTGTGAGCCATGTTGGGTTTCCAGGGAGATTCACACACGTCAGTTGTCCTGGTTGACTGGTGTAAGAGGTACCCAGTAGGACCAAACACAAGTTCCAGCCATGGGCTAAGGCTGCAAAATCTGGATGTCGAGAAGACTGAAGACCACCAAGTCTTTTTGGGTCCACTTTTTCTGTCTCTAAGAGGTGTATATAGATCTATTTCTTTTCTGAGCTCTCAGCGGTGTTCCTGAGTTGCTATGTGAGCCTCATGTTCTTCTCGGAAGAAAATAGAAGAAAGCGGCAGAGGGAAGACTGCATCGACATCCTTGAAGGAACTTAAGAGGCCTTTCAAACCAATGACAACGTGGCTCCCCTTTGAACTGCTCCAGACTTGATGTATTTCTTGAAGATTCTATTCCCCCTAGAATCAGACTTCGTCGCACAGATGTACCTTCGCAATTCCCAGTGTCGGGGGTATCACTGCGACAACTCGAAAAGGAGGGTGCAGTGATCCTCGCTGCTGCAGCCTTTCATCATGCGGAAGAAAAGGCCACACAATGAAACTTGGGTCTTTCCCTACTGAATTATTTGTTGGACTTGCAAGAAATCTTGTATGGAACAAGTTGGCACGTCATGTCTGCTGAAATGTATTAAACCAATAGTCAACATGCAGACCTACCTCAAATGAACCACAGGAGGGCACACCAAGCGTCTGCTGACCTTAAGCGAATTGCTTTAAACTTTAAACCAAGGTTCTCTACCAGTTTTTGACAGAGCTCACCTGTCTTTGTAGACCTTGGTCAACTCAACGAAGTCTGTTTCGGGGACATTGACCCCTTGGGCCCCCTTGGGGTCAGAACAAGGACTCACCGCATGGCAATACAAAGTTTTTGTCTCACCTTTTAAAAGAAACGATTTGGGTTTCCCAAGAGTTATGATGGGACGTCCAACATCAGAGAGGGACTTGCGGGATTGCAGGAAAAAACACCGAAACGCAACTGGCAAGTCGACCGCTCTGGCGCCATGACAGACGCGGAGGACGGGGGCGATGTGCGATGTGTGGGGCCTGGCGGGTATATATACGGACTGCGCTGCAGCTCTCAAGCAGTTGGCCGGGCTTTGAGGGTGAATATCTTCGATTGATCCTCTTTGGTGGTTAAGCCTCAGTTGAAAGGAATTGAGTTCTTTGCCACTCCGTCTGGCACACTACGAGGTCCGTGGAGTGGCCGCGGTTGTTACACTCTTTTCATCTCCTTTCCTCTTGGGCGTGGGGTCGTTCGTGCCAACTAGTAACAAGTGCATCGATACTAGTAACAAGGATGCTACTAGTAACAAGGTGCTTTACTACTAGTAACAAGACACTACTAATAGCTGAAAGCTACTAGGTGGAGGCCATCGTTATTAGGTTGGAGGCCATCGCCAGTGCAGCCGATCGTCCGAGTCCAGACCCTTGGTACTAGGCGAAGTGATGCGAAATTGCGAAGTTTCTCTTTCAGTCCTTGCTACTAGTAGCTTCTTGTTACTAGTAGCGATGCCAGGAGCCCCT